CCAGAGTACTCAAATATAATCATATTAAATTTTTGTTAATTGAATTTTATTGTTGAAAGGTACATAGATAAAGATTGTTTATTCTTTAAAGATGGGGAAAAAAGTTTTATTAATTTTTTAACTATATTGAGAGCCTGACATGCAGGACATGTAATTTTGTCGAAATGAATTAGTAAAAAAATTGTATGTTTATCATCTCACACTTTTGAGGTTTGATTGAAAATTGACATATATATATCTGATTTTAGTGAATCTTGAATGAGTGATTTGCTTTTTAAGTATTTTATTCAGAATAAAGAAATTAGTGTAGTGTCTTATCATTTCAAAAAGTCAAACATTGCTTTACATCAATATTTTCCAGCAATGCTATCAAGCAATTTAATTATGATACCCTTGATGCAATTATAGGTTGCACTTTGTAAATACAGCTGTTTCTCAAACCACACCTCTTTTGGGGAGATATTGAATATTCATAGATAATTAATTTTGTTTACATACTGGTTCCCAGTTATGATCTCTAGGTTTCATCTCATAGAGACATAACTTGGGAATGTTACCAGTAAATATACATATGCATATTGTCTATATAGAAATCTGTGGTAATCCTACAGTCAAGGTAGGGATAGTTAAGAAATTTAGTGTTAGTTTAAACTCTTAGAAGTTCGGGGCATATAAACGTTGAAAATATGCTACACAGCCCTATATTTTGACCTTTGAAAAAAATTGTAGTGCATATGAACTTTCCATTCTAGCAAGGAATTGTATATTTAAAAGGAATGGAAACGCGGCTCGAGATCAATCGGGATACCCGCAGAGCTATAATCCATGTCTAACTCGCTCGGAAGTATGATGAATAATACAAAGAATCATGACGGTGGTCCATTTCCTGTCATATAGATCAGTCTTTTAAATTCACGGGGTCATCTTGCTTGAGAAGATATAAAGGTGCGAGAAACTCAAAATCAAGAATAAACTTCCATTCCGTGAATAGTTGAGGCCTTAGGTATCATTTTAATGCCTCATCGAACAAACGTTTGTAATATTTTATTATGAAAATTCTTATTAAAATAGACCTTGGTCTTGAAACTTGAGTGAGTTTCATACGGATTACGAAACAAAAAATACAGTGTTCTGATTTTTTTCTGAAAGCTCGGCAACTATGAAGTGCAAAACAAAATAGTTGATATCATTATGAAGCTGAAACCTTATTCTAGCATTTTGCCATTTTTTTAAGTTTCTGGTAACATTTCTGAATTTTCTACGATTTTTTAGAAATTTCAGTTTTGAATTTCATTATTCTGTCAAAACATGTCTTTCAATCTGGGAGTGTAATACGTTTTCTTCTAAATATTGGAAAGTAGAAAGAATAAAGTGAGAAAATGATATATCATTTTAAAGAAGGAATATTTTCCTACAGTTTGGTATAAATTACGAATGCTAAATGATATCGGTACAATGAAAATGATTTAATTCGAAGCATGTTGAAAATTTTAAGTAGTGCGTCAATAAATACACCAACATTCCGTATTCTGGTAAGGGTTAAATAACTACTTGAAATAGATGTGACATTGACATACAATTTAAAAGCTTAGTCTTTTTTCTATCACATAGTGTTGGTTTTATGAAAATGGTGATAAAAACGAATTTGCTATGATTTTTCAAAATCCCATGTTTATAGTTCACATTGACGCCATTTTGTTCATTCAAGATCCACACCGACGAAGTCGGAAATTACAGGCAAGAAATGTATATAAGACTTCTTTTTTCTAGAAGAGCAGTAGTCTAGAGGTCGCAAAATATTCCTGTGTTGTTAAAATAAATAATATGCGAATGTCGGAAAGTTTTAACTGTTTCTAATTAAAAAAATTATTGCACCACGGCATAATTTAGCATTTATTAACAGGTGAGCTCGGCGTGATTTCTTTTTGACACCTTAAATCAAGGACAGCCTTTAGTTAGTATACACTGTTCCTGCTTAAATATATATACGACAAAAATTAGCTTATCAATGATACATGATAGATTATACTTGCAAATTGGATATCCCATACCGTGTTTATTATAACACCTATTATCTAAGTTCTTTTATCTAGACAAAATACTACATCTGTTCACGTACTTCATGTACTTCTTCCTTTATACTTTTCTATACCAGTCATATTCCAAAATTAAAAAGTTATTTTTTAAATTTTTGCATTACCTTAAATCTTTTTAAAAACTCGTATAATGTCAGATTTCATCTATTAATTGATCTTAATTGTTGCATACCTTCGTGAAATATCCAGAGGAGGTACAAGAAATAAATGTTTTTCAGAAGTAACTTCGTTTAAGGTTGTATTTTTTGTTTATTTCATTTAAGGAATTGTATATCTAAATAGACAATTCCTTGTTTCATTTCATGATTAAATGACCAAGCTCGATAACTACTGCTAGATAAGTAATGAGCCAGTTAGAGCGATGGGATGTAATTAACACACCACCCAAGTCAGAGATGCATCATACAATTTCCTTTGAAGTCAGCCATTTCCATTCCTTCTAAATATACAATTCCTTGATTCTAGAATATGATTTTTTTCAAAACTTCATAGTAAAAGTGGTACAGTTTTAGCCGTAAAAGGAGTTCCTATGGGAAATTGCATTGTCGATATTTACAGAAATGCAACCTATAAGTTTTCTTTTGTCCTCATTTATATGCAGAGCTTTTAATTGTCAACTATTGAGGGAATTGAAAAAATTATTTGGGACCAAAAATTCTTTATAGATTATTATGTCCATTTTTTAGGAACTTTTAGTTATATGTAATTTGTTTCACTGGACGAGAAGACATTAAAGGGGGCAGGGCAATAGCTGTTAAATTCATGTTCACAGATTTTACCCATATTCTTAGATTTTATTTATAACATACTAAAACAATTAAATCCAATTTATAAAAAGTCCAAAGGAACAGTTAACAATGAATGGACTGGTTATAATGTATAAGCAATTTGTGCATATTTTAGACTAGACACCATCTAATTATCCATCAAGATAACCCCCAAAGACTGCTGATGATAATTTAACATTATTTAAATATAGATCAAAAGTCAAGCACTTGCAATTATATATTGACAATTTTTCTTGATCTGTTTGATTTCATGTTACAGTTTAAAAATATATTTCAATCATTGTTTTTCCTGTATAAGATAATAAGAATCATTTTTTGTGGGCCAGATTAGTCAATGAAATGGTTATACCTGGTGGTTCCCTTGTTTCACTTTTTAATGAATGGACATGGTTACTACATACTGAAAACATGCTCAGCCTGTCACCACTAAAGTTCAAAGTAAAGGTTGCATGAATACGGATTCAAATGAGAATGATTTATTGACTTGTAAGCCATAATACATCAGCCATGTTTGTTTAGCTTATTTTGATGAAATTGAACCAAACTGACTGCTAATACTAATAGCTAAATATAATTTCTATATTCTGCTTAAATAAATGTTTGAAGCAAAAAAAAATCCTATTTTAATTTTTGTGTCTAATTCTTAGCTACTGTAGATTCATTATTATTCGTGTGATACCAGTTTTTGTTGATTTCTTGGGTACAGGTGAACCATGAATTTAAATGTTCAATGGATTACAAATTTTCTATAGGCTTGCATGCAGTTTTTGGCACAACCACGAAATCAAATATCCACAAAAATACAAGTTATCCTTAATCCATGGATATTGGTATGCATGAACATAAATGAATCCACAGTAATGCCTCGTTAAGCTTAATTTTGTTATGGAGTTGAATAAAGAAAAGTAACTGATGTTGTTTTCATTTTTCACTTTGATTTACTTTAAATGAAATACACCCCTTGGATTTTCTTAGTTGTTATTGAGTGGTGCATTTATGTGTGAAGTATGAAATATAAGCAGTGTATTTAGGCTTCTATATTATTGTTACATACCATTTCCATCACTACATTTATGTGCAAAAAATATAGAAACAAAGGATAGTTTTTGAAAGTCATTATGTCCGCTGATTTTTGTAGATTTATTTTTAGAACTTGCAGTAAGTTTCTGCATACATATCTTTTTGTCTATGGAATTTTTTTCAAAGGTACAGTTTGTTTAAAATATTTGTCAGTTTATTTCATTATTGAGAATATTTTGAGTTTATAGCACTATTAAGTTTTGACAGTATAAAAGCTCCTTCTTATGATGACATTACAATTATTGTAAATGGAATATTCTCATTAAGTACACATGAAGATGTTTCATGATGTGCAGTTACTAGATTTTAGGTTCTGTTTGTACTGTATAAATTGTGTAACAGACTTTAAAAGGTTGTAAATTTCTTATTTTCCATGAGTATCTACATTAGAGCTAACATATTGAAGAGAAAAGCATTTTCTTGTATTTTCTATATTCTTTTATTGAGAAGAACTCTTGGCAACTTCTATGACATTTATGACAAAACATTAAGAGTACTTTGAATGGATTTTCATGCCAATCTGAAGACAGTTCTGATTTTAATCATAGCTAAGTGTCTGTAGAAAAATGGATTTTTGACGGGAGAAATTACACTTATACATGATTAGCTGCTATTTGTCATCTGTTTAGCAAAATATTTCACTTTATTTCCTATAGTAAATACTGAATCTTAAGAGTTGTTTGGTATTGATTATTCATTACACAACAAGCGAGAAGGAAATCATCCCTAAGCGAACATTAAAGGTTTTTCAGATAAGGAAAAGTTAATGATTAGAGCATCCTGTTTTACTTAAGATTGTGGCTAATACTTTAATGTAAAACCAAAAAAACTGTTAACAATTGAATTTTTATGTCTCTAATTACTGTTGCTGTTGTGTTTGACGAGAAATGATGCATGTTACAAGTGATAGAAGTTTTTCTGTTTAATTTGTCTTTTGATTGGGATTTGTTTATACAATGTGCATTAAGTGACTGAACACAAAAAGTTTTTTCTGCCTCATTAATGCTAATATTGCATGTCTTCTTTCTTCTTTCAGACAAGCCAGAGTTTAAGAGTAAAGAGTCATATCTGCTGTAAGTCTTAGAATTGATGTCATTACAACATGAAAGGTTAAAGAAAAACATCTCATCTTCCTCATAATTATGTACATTTCAATGGAGTTCATGCCAGCGATAAATGTTAATGGCTTTCTTTTTATTTTGGTCCATTTCCTATTGACTACCTTCTAGAATACCACCCTATTTCGTGACTCATTAACTGGGAAGGTTTTAGAGTGATTAATGACTATTTTCAGTAAAAAGACACTAAAATTACATAAGGGTATAATTAACTAGCATCCGTTCCCACACTTAATATTTTGTACTGGAGAAAATACATGAAAAGGGAAGATAAGATACTGCAATCTTTGAGTTGAGGTTACAAACTTAAAATAACAAGGAGGTGAAAATACAAATAAAAATAATGTTTATTTTTCTGTGAAAACATTAATGACATCTTACAGCCAACCTTTGAAAACAATATCTTGGGAAAATGAAAAAAAATTAAAATAACACTTCATTAATTGGAATATATACATAAAAGACAAACCATCAAAATTTTATGTACAGAAAAACTGGTCAACTAAAATTTTAAACTGTGTTAGGATACAACAAAACGATGTAAAAATTTGCATGACAGTATCAGATGCCTGATTAATGCTTTTGGAGAATACTGACAGATTATATTTGGGATAATTTACAAGAGTCAATATCCCATTTTATTGTATAGATAGCACCATGATATTTCCCTCAGTTCATAGCGAAAAGTTAGCATGCAATATTCTATTATATTGCACTAGTGTAAATATAAAGTTAGAGGTCATAAGTGTTTCACCATTCGAAAATTCTGTTATACATTCATATAAAAACACATTTTCAATAAAATACTAAGTTATTTCATATCTGAAATTGAAAGAAAGTTTTGATTTTATATATATACAAATAAAAACTTGCAATAATTTTGAAATATACATGTATGTATGATTTCTACTTTTAAGAAAATCTTTTTAAAGACAAATAATAATTTCTGCACATAAAAAATATATGGCTATATAGGTAAATATGACAATTTTAATATTTGTATATGAATAAGAATTAATCAGTAACAACATGTCATAAAAAAAATTCTTAGTAACCAAAAACTGCTGTACACATTTACATGTTAATCAGTAAAAATGTCATCAAAATCAGATTTAAAAAAAAATTTGACAATGTTAAAAAGAAATGAGTTTCTATTTGAAAAGAAAATATGGGAATTTCCAAGTGTTGAAACACTTGACCTCTGACTGGTTGTAGCTTCAGTTATTAATGTGATCGCTGATCATTAACAAAATATGTTTTAAACAGTTTTGATAATAGAAGAATAGGGAAAGACATTTTAATTTGTTTAAATTTAAATTCTAATGATAGCTTACTGGTACATTTTAAATGCTTATTATGCAGGTTATTCATTGAAGAAAAAAATATCAGGTCATAATGCGTACAAACTTTTTGGGTCCAGTTTTAGTGTTGAAGAGTTTTTTTTTATATACTATAACATATACATATACCACTGACTGGCACTGAGTTTCCTAAAAATAATCACTTTTGTATTTGTTAAGTATAGAAATATAGAAATATTTATTATTATTTAAATAAATATCTTTATAAAGCAATGCCCTTTTATTAGCTCACCTGACCTGAAAGGTCAAGTGAGCTTTTCTCATCACTTTGCGTCCGTCGTCCGTCGTCCGTCGTCCGTAAACTTTTACAAAAATCTTCTCCTCTGAAACTACTGGGCCAAATTTAACCAAACTTGGCCACAATCATCATTGGGGTATCTAGTTTTAAAAATGTGTGGCGTGACCCTGTCAACCAACCAAGATGGCCGCCACGGCTAAAAATAGAACATAGGGGTAAAATGCAGTTTTTAGCTTATAACTCAAAAACCAAAGCATTAAGAGCAAATCTGACATGGGGTAAAATTGTTCATCAGGTCAAGATCTATCTGCCCTGAAATTTTCAGATGAATCGGACAACCCGTTATTGGGTTGCTGCCCCTGAATTGGTAATTTTAAGGAAATTTTGCTGTTTTTGGTTATTATCTTGAATATTATTATAGATAGAGATAAACTGTAAACAGCAATAATGTTCAGCAAAGTAAGATTTACAAATAAGTCAATATAACCGAAATGGTCAGTTGACCCCTTTAGGAGAAATTGCCCTTTATAGTCAATTTTTAACCATTTTTCGTAAATCTTAGTAATCTTTTACAAAAATCTTCTCCTCTGAAACAACTGGGCCAAATTAAACCAAACTTGGCCACAATCATCATTGGGGTATTTAGTTTAAAAAATGTGTGGTGTGACCCGGCCAACCAACCAAGATGGCCGCCACAGCTAAAAATAAAACATAGGGGTAAAATGCAGTTTTTGGCTTATAACTCAAAAACCAAAGCATTTAGAGCAAATCTGACATGAAGTAAAATTGTTTATCAGGTCAAGATCTGTCTGCCCTAAAATTTTCAGATGAATCGAACAACCTGTTGTTGGGTTGCTGCCCCTGAATTGGTAATTTTAAGGAAATTTTGCTGTTTTTATACGACCGCAAAAATTGAAAATTTTTTGGTCGTATATTGGTATGACGTTGGCGTCGTCGTCGTCGTCGTCTTCGTCGTTGTCGTCGTCGTCGTCGTCCGGCGTCGTCTGGCGTCGTCCGAAGACACATTGGTTTTCGCACTCTAACTTTAGTTTAAGTGAATGGATCTCCATGAAATTTCACCATAAGGTTCAATACCACGAAAGGAAGGTTGGGATTGATTTTGGGGGTTATGGTACCAACAGTTAAGGAATTAGGGGCCAAAAAGGGGCCAAAAATAAGCATTTTTGTAACTTTCAGACAATAACTTGTGTGTAAGTGTATGGATCTCTCTGACATTGTACCACAAGGTTCCATATCACAAAGGGAAGGCTGTAATTGATTTTGGGGGTAATTGCCTCAAAATGTTAGGAATTAGGGGCCAAAAAAGGGGCAAAAAACAAGCATTTTTCTAGTTTCATGACAATAACTTGTGTGTAAGTGTTTGGATATTTCTGAAATTGTACTACAAGGTTCCATATCACAAAGGGAAAGCTGGAATTGAGTTTGGGGGTAATTGCCCGAAACGTTTAGGAATTGGGGGCCAAAAAGGGGCCAAAAATAAGCATTTTTCTAGTTTCCAGACAATAACTTGTGATCAAGTGTATGGATCTCTCTGAAATTGTACTGCAAGGTACCATACCACAAAGGGAAGGCTGAGATTGAGTTTGGGGGTGATGAATCATAAGGGGGTTCAAAAAATTTTGGGGGGGGATTTTTTTTTTCTTTTTTTCCTTTTTTTTTTCTTTTAAAATTTTCCATTTTAAGTTGGTTATTTCTGATTTATATTTAAAAGCAAATAATAATGATATGGTAGGAGATACACACCAAACAGGATGTGTAAATTATTATATAATAAGTATTGTGCAATAGCAAGAAATTTTCAATTGCACAGTATTGCACAATAGCAAGAAATCTTCAATTGCACAGTATTGCGCAATAGCAAGAAATCTTCAATTGCACAGTATTGCGCAATAGCAAGAAATATCCCATAGCACAATATTGCGCAATAGCAAGAAATTGTCAATTGTACAGTATTGCGCAATAGCAAGAAATGATCAATTGCACAGTATTGTGCAAAAGAAGATACTTCGTATAAATTGCTTATTTCTTGATCAATTTCAATGGGGTTTTATTCTTGAATTCTTGGGGTTCTTTAATATGCTGAATCTAACCGTGTATTAAGTTTTTGGATTTTGGGCCCCGTTTTTAAATTGGTCCACATTGAGGTCCAAAGGGTCCAAAATTGAACTTTGTTTGATTTCATCAAAAATTGAATTATTGGGGTTCTTTGATATGCCGAATCTAACCGTGTATTTAGATTCTTAATTTTTGGTTCTGTTTTCAAATTGGTCTACATAAAGGTCCAAAGGGTCCAAAATTAAACTTAGTTTGATTTCAACAAAAATTGAATATATGGGGTTCTTTGATATGCTGAATCTAACCATGTATTTAGATTTTTGATTATGGGCCCAGTTTTCAAGTTGGTCCAAATCGGGGTCTAAAATTAAACTTTGTTTGATTTCAACAAAAATTGAATATATGGGGTTCTTTGATATGCTGAATCTAACCATGTATTTAGATTTTTGATTATGGGCCCAGTTTTCAAGTTGGTCCAAATCGGGGTCCAAAATTAAACTTTGTTTGATTTCAACAAAAATTGAATATATGGGGTTCTTTGATATGCTGAATCTAACCATGTATTTAGATTTTTGATTGTTGGGCCCCGTTATCAACTTTGTCCACATTGAGATCAAAAGGGTCCAAAATTAAACTTTGTTTGATTTCATCAAAAATTGAATATATGGGGTTCTTTGATATGCTGAATCTAACCATTTATTTAGATTTTTGATTATGGGCCCAGTTTTCAAGTTGGTCCAAATCGGGGTCCAAAATTAAACTTTGTTTGATTTCAACAAAAATTGAATATATGGGGTTCTTTGATATGCTGAATCTAACCATGTATTTAGATTTTTGATTATGGGCCCAGTTTTCAAGTTGGTCCAAATCGGGATCCAAAATTAAACTTTGTTTGATTTCAACAAAAATTGAATATATGGGGTTCTGTAATATGCTGAATCTAACCGTGTATTAAGTTTTTGGATTTTGGGCCCCGTTTTTAAATTGGTCCACATTGAAGTCCAAAGGGTCCAAAATTTAACTTTGTTTGATTTCATCAAAAATTGAATTATTGGGGTTCTTTGATATGCCGAATCTAACCGTGTATTTAGATTCTTAATTTTTGGTTCCGTTTTCAAATTGGTCTACATAAAGGTCCAAAGGGTCCAAAATTAAACTTAGTTTGATTTTAACAAAAATTGAATTTTTAGGGTTCTTTGATATGCTGAATCTAAACATGTATTTAGATTTTTGATTATGGGCCCAGTTTTCAAGTTGGTCCAAATCGGGGTCCAAAATTA